TGTCATCCTTGCGCAGGGGCCATTTAAAACATCGAGAAATTTAAAAAAAGAAAAAAGAAAAAAGAAAAAAAAAAGAAGAGCCGTGGCATGATCCTGTATCATTCCAATCTTAACAGAAGTCCTTCAGAAAAGCGCACGAAGAATTTCATTTCACTTTTGGTTTTTTTTTTTTTTTTTTTTAACTCTGCAATTTGCGCTTTTACACCAACCAGCGCAATCCGAGAAATGCTAAAAAAGATTATACATTAAAAAAAAAAAAAAACTCTCACTTACCCTGGCACAGCTTTTTTTTTTGGGGGGGGGGGGGAGGGAATATTTCTCGATTTATGCGTGCAATCCCTGTCCAGGGGCCATTCTAATTTTTCTCCTCCCTTAAAAAAAAAATAAAAAAAATTATCCTCTGTCGGCCACGCCACAGCACTCCCGAAAATTCCGAAATGTGAAAAAAACAAAATTGTGGCGGGTGCATCTGGCCATGTTTCTAGCGGGAAGTTCATTTTCATTTTGCACATTTCGAGAGTGGTGTGGCAATGCCACCCACCCCCCTTTCTCATGCCAACAATTGAACAGAAGATGTCCTGCAGATTACGCCAACCACACAGCCCAACTCGAGAAATGCTCACCAAAATATGTGACGATATATATCGATATATATATATATATATCGTCACAAACAGAACTGCCCGGTAAACCGTAGGCAGAGAGAGAGAAGAGGACAACAAACGAGGGGCTGTGGCAAACTGTTTCGTCGGAGTTTCACCGACTCATCAGGAGGCTGAATATATATATATATATATAAAATTAAAAAAAAAAAAAAAAACACGGGACAAGCAAGCTATCACCACTTACCCTTTGTACTCGTTTTGAAAATCTCCCGCCTGCGCACTTCCGCTGTCGATGACTCCAATCCACGCTCCGGATCCCGACAACGACGGCTCGTAAGGATCCATGACCACAAGCCGTCCCATCACCGACCCGCGTCCCGACGGCGACGGGTAGGCATCCCCCTCGCTGACCCACGTGTACGGCCACGTGGCATTCTCCACGACGGCCTGCGCGACCGCCTCGTTCCACAGCTCGTCCGCCGAGCTGCTGTCCTCCCTTCCCACTCCCCCTCCCGCTCCCCCCTGGTTGAAGTACAGCAAACACGGCCCATACACCTTCTTCCAACCCTCCCCCTTCTCTATGCTGATTGGTCGTGTTCCATAGTGCAGCGAATGCAGCATGAGCAGCATGCTAGGACCCGTGTGCACCGTCAGATCTTGTTTCATGGGCCCCCCCCCCATCCATTCAGTCCGATGGGGGGTGACCCACCACACCCCTATGTCGTTGCTCTTCCCATTCCCCCCCCCCCCCCCCCCCCCTGCCCCCCCCGCTTGCCCCCCCTTCGACACCCAACCTATCACCGACGTATCCTTGCTGTCCATCGAGTAATGATACTTATGATCTACCTCATTAAGCAGCGCGGGATTGATTGGATTGGTGAGCAATCGCGTTTCAACGATCCATAGGATCCGGCTGCGCTCATCTTGCATGTCCAAGGAGGAGGGCATAACTCGAAATCGGTTCTCGTCGATGGCCGCATAGCGGAAGAGATCGGGACGCAGGCGGACAACCATGCGCAGCTCGACGAGCAAGAGATGATCCTGGTCCGATGTGTGGTCCAGGATCAGATAAGTGTAAATTCCAGCCTTACCACTCTCCATAACGTAACGGATATCGAAATTGATCGGCGCGTCCCGAGCGCGCCGTCGGGTTTCTTGACTAGCGTTAACGGCGCTACCGTTTCCGTAAATGGAAGCATTGAACGTGGACAAGAAACTGATCTCTATTCGATCTGCGGAGCGAAGAAATCTGCTCCCGCTACCAGCATTAGTACTATTTGTCGTATTAGAGAAGGAAGAAGAGGAAGAAGAATTGTGGTCAGAGGAGTAAATAGAGAAATCGGAATAAGAAGAAACGGATGGGGGAGGATAAATAACACTATAATTAGTGCCAAAAAGCCGCTGAAATCGATTCTGTTGGATATCATATAGTCCTCTGTCATCTATCTTCTCTCTTGCCCACGTCATGTCCCAAGCCGCGCGCTTGCTCGGCTCCCCGTGATTGCGCGTGAGCTCCGCTTGAGAGCTCGCATTCTCCGCCGCGTAATAGGTAGAGGAGACCGTCGGATCGTAGCAGTAATCACCATCATAACAGGGGAGAGAATCATGAACGCTGTCGAATAGATCACCGGGTTGAAAACTGTCATCCAGACCGTCGGCGGTGGAATCGCCTAGATCTGACGGCGGAGGGGCGCCGCCATCGCCGTTCGAATAAGAAGAAGAAGTGCTGCTGCTGCTGCCATTCGTGCTGTTATTTACCCCTACCCCACCCCAAGGGATTGTCTGATCAGTGAATAGGATGTTATCGATGCCGGCATATTGAATAGAGGTGATGAATCCAAATGGCAGTTGGATTGTAATGTTAACGAGTCCATTGCGAAGGGTAATTGAGCGATTACGCTCTTCAAGCTCGACAGGGCCATGGTCAGCAAGAGGGTCGGTGGCAATGCCCTCGACAAAGAGAGAGAGAGATCGACGGCGGGGAACGTGAAGTGTCGTGGTCGATGTTGAGGTAGTGGAGATGGTGGTAGAAGACGAAGAAGAAGAGGAATAAGAAGAAAAAGAAGAAGAAGAAGAAGAAAAGAGCTCCCCGCGCAGATGAAAGACGAGCAGAAGGACGAGGAGAAGATGAACGAACGGCAGCGGAACACCAGCAACGGGAGAGGAGAAGAACGACATCGCTGAGAGAGACGAACGAGCACGAACGCAGCGGCTATGGCGGTTATTGTCGTGAATCTGACCGAGATCATGATGAGGATGCGGATGCGGATGAGGATGAGGATGACGATGATGAGGATGATGATGACGATGAGGATGATGAGGTTGTGGAGGAGGACAAGCTTGTCTTACAAACGCCATACTGCTCATCAAACAAGTTGATCGTTTGCCTTTTAAGACTTTTTTGTCTTTTGTTTCTTCTTCTTCTTCTTCTTCTTCTTCTTCTTCTTCTTCTTCTAAGTTCTTAAATTACGCTCATGCTAAGAAGAACTTAGAAGAACTAAGAAGAACTTAGAAGAACTTAGAAGAACTTAGAAGAACTTAGAAGACTTTTGTTTCTGCTGTTTCTGCTAATGCTCCTACTTCCCACTCCAGGCACTCCTTGTGGTTTCGTCTTCGGCTTCTCTCTCGTTCTCGTTGTCCCTCTCCTCTCCCTCCCCTTTTCGTTCTTCTGCTTCTTATTATTATTCTTATTCTTATTCTCCTTCTTCTCTCTTCTTCTTCTCTTCTCTCTTCTTCTTCTTCTTCTCTCTTCTTCTGCTATTCTACTTTTTTCTCCTTTTCTCCACCTTTAATCAAGGTTGTTGTTGTTTTTTTTTTCCTGCAAGCTCTATCGGAACATGCAAATCTCGTCGCTATTGTCCAGTTGACCTCTCTTCCTTCGCTTTTTTCTTTTTTTTTGACGCGCTCCTCCGCGACACTCCTCTTCCAGCCGCTCTCTCTCCACCCTCTCCCTTTCCTTCCCCTCTCTCGTTTTCCACTACTGATCGCCCCACTTCTCTTCCGTTTCCTTTTCCCTTTTCCCCTTCTTCTGCTCTAACACTTCCCCTGTCCCTTCTCCTCTCTCTCTCTCTCTCTCTCTCTCTCTCTCTCTCTCTCTCTCTCTCTCTCGTTCTTCTTCCAATTCCCCCCTTACCCGAAATCAGAGGCTTTCGATATCGCCGCCGCTCAAATAAAATCAGCCCAACTCCCACTTTCTCTCCCCTTACAGACCGGAAGCAGCTGTGGCAGGAACCAATTGATACATAGACAGACAGACGGCACCAACGTCTTTCGTCATCAACTATCAATCAATCAATCAATCAATCAATCAATCAATCAATCAATCAATCAATCAATCGATGGATCATTTGATCAATTAATCAACCAATCAACCAATCAACCAATCAACCAATCAACCAATCATGTAATAGATTAATCAATCAATCGATCGATCAAGTAAGAGATTAATCAATCAATCGATCAAGTAATCGATGAATCAATCAATAGATCAATCGACAAGCCGTTCCATCAATCTACTTGCATAAGCTATCAAGGCATCATTTCGATTATTACTTATTTCTTAAGAACTACGTATCAAAGAGAAAGAGGTGGTCGTTGAGATGACAAAAAGCAACTCTACCAATATACAGTGCATCTGCCTGGATAAACACCGTAGAAAGTTGCGACGAAAGTTCGGCGTAACTACAATAACTGATCAGAATGATTACAGTTTAAAAATCCGATCAAAATCAGCGTTAAATACTCGAACTCTGAGCAAGAATACCCCATGGTCATCATCCTGTGTGGAGTGGAGTGGAGTGGAGTGGAGTGTTTGTAATCCGGCATTCTACCACCTTCATCCAAAACTAGCACGACGGCACTCTATCGACCTGCACAGTTGACAAGCACCGATCACCGTCGATACGTCGTTCTCTCTCTCTCTCTCTCTCTCTCTCTCTCTCTCTCTCTCTCTCTCTCTCTCTGTGGCACACACACACACCGTCGATACGTCGTTCTCTCTCTCTCTCTCTCTCTCTCTCTCTCTCTCTCTCTCTTGCTCGCTCGCTCGCTTGCTCGCAAACACAAAGCTTGAGTCACCCACACAACCTACCACTCACCGTTTGTTGACTGACATAGTGCGTTCGATTAATTAATTATCAATATTAATTATGTTCCATGTCGGTCTATAGACATACTGTATTATGATATTCTATGCGGATGTTCGCCTATCAATCATAGATAAGAAGGTTGACGACTATCACTTTATATAGAAAGAGATTAACTTAAAGGTGTAGTAATACTAATCTATATACCTTTCTATCTGTGATATTTGCTTGTCTATGGATAAATGGATGGTTGTTTAGTTTATCTCAGGCTATTCATCGATGGACCGACTGCTCGATCGATAAATTGAGGCCATACTCACACTAGCACTTTCGTAAATGTATCTGACCGCAACTACGGCCAAACGTGGCTACAGCTGCCTGTAATCACGGCCAGAGCTCAGTCTAAAACGTTCTAGTATGGCCAGAGCTCAGTCTAAAACGTTCTAGCATGGCCAGAGCTCAGTCTAAAACATTCTAGTATGGCCAGAGCTCAGTCTAAAAAGTTCTAGTATGACCAGAGCTCAGTCTAAAAGTTCTCGTATGAGTATGTCCTTAACGATCCATAGACGAATCAGAAAACCAAGGTAATCAATTCGATAAGCTAAGGCTCATGATGAATTACAGATAGACAGACAGACAAACAGGCAAACTGTGATTTTTTTTTTGATTTTTGTTTTTTGCGAACTTTGATTGACTATATTATTATAATTTATAAGTATTAAATACGATGAGTAGTAGTGACTCTCCCTCCCACTTTATATATACTTTCCCAAAAAAAAAAAAAAAAAAAAAAAAAAAACACTCTATACATACGCGGTCAATGATGGCCGACGATGCAACTGCGCTGTAGAGTGTTCTCAATGTTGAATCAGGCTATACTCTTACTAGGACTTCCTGGGATGTATCTGACCAGGAATACAGTCTATCCTGGATGTATCTGAGCGCAATTACGCCCAGAGTTCAGTTGGACAAAGTCGTAGAGGCTAGAGGGAGTATGCTCTCAGCCATGACGTAAGGAAAGAGAGAAAATGGGTTGACCCCCATCAAAGGTCCAGACAGCCGTCAACGAATAGCATAGCCTAACGAGCCAGGCCCTGTGCTATGCACTATGCGCTATAGCGGCTATACTGCCACATAGTACAGCGACATAGTATTAAAGTACTCTGGCATTACCGTACTATGCGAGATTAGTACCCTGGCATCAGTGTACTATTCGATATTATGATAGGCTAAGCATAATCGATCTTGAATACCCCTAGTATAACACTATCGCATAGGCTTATGCCAGAGTACCATATATATATATATATATATATCGTCACAAATATATATATATATGTATATGAGTCGGTGAAACTCCGACGAAACAGTTTGTCACAGCCCCTCCCTCGTTTGTTGTCCTCTTCTTCCCCCCCTCTCTGCCTACGGTTTACCGGGCAGCTCTGTTTGACTATATATTGTCACATAACTATGAATATATATATATATATATCGTCAAATAGAATATATATATACACATGGCAACATATATGGCCATCACAGAGATCAGACATTCTACGTAAGAAGCATGGACGAAAATGCCGCCACAGAGAGAGAGAGAGAGAGAGAGAGAGAGAGAGAGAGAGAGAGAGAGAGAGAGAGAGAGAGAGAGAGAAGATTGGCTACACAATGAGCCTGTTTGAGAGCTGGCCCTTAGTCCGAGTCAGTAAGAGGCGCGAAGTCGATCCGTACATCGACAACGAATTCCATCAGAAGATTAAGTGGAGTTTTTATCAGGAAAAGAAGCGAAAAAAAAAAGAAAAAACGTTGATCAAAGGAACCAACAACAACGAAAAAAAAAAGAAAAAAAAAAGCAAGCTTGATGTGTACTTGAGAACCACAAGGTTCTGGCGTTGATCCACTCCTTTTCGACTTTGAATCTCCTCCTGACGTACTATACATGTATATGGGCCTCGCTCCACTACTCTCGCCATGGGCAAAACAAGTCTTAGAGTGAATCTTCCGCTAGAACTTGGAAAGATACACCGCCATGTAGACAGACTTAATGTAGGCGCCTTCGTTAGCCGCAGTATTCGAAGCAGAGCGTCATGTCTCTCTGTCGCCTAATCCATGCACCAAGCTCGGCGCGCTGTGTCGAACCTCCCACCCTCTCTCTCTCTCTCTCTCTCTCTCTCTCTCTCTCTCTCTCTCTCTCTCTCTCTCTCTCTCTCTCTCTCTCTCTCTCTCTCTCACGCACTCACACACACACACACAGACACACAGACAAGAAGCGAAGTACCTCCTACTCACATAGATACACACAAAGGAATAAGCTTTTTATTGCAAGTATAATATGTTTGACGATATATATATTCTATTTGACGATATATATGTATATATATATATATATTGTCACATGAATATCAGAGCGCAATATATATATGTATACATATATATACTTAAATTTGCAGCGCCCTACGGAGGAGTTGTGGTGTACCTGTAGAATGCGCGAAGAAGATGCGATTTTTATTTATTTAATTATTTTTTGTTAACAGAAGACGCGAATTTGGCAAAGCGAACACAGCGGGTAGAGATTAATTAGCGCCTCGCTGGACTACTCACCACTTGCAAAAAAGACACAAAATATGGCGATGCATCTTTTCATGTTCTAGCGGAAGATTCATTCTCAACTTGCACATTCCGTGAGTAGCGGAGCGAGACTCATTATTAATTACTATCTACGCTAGCAAACTGCCCAAACTGCCACGAGTCGGAGTCGACGACTGTAGCAAAACGCGACGGACGGAGAGAAGTTCCCGCGAGGAAGCTCGACGTAGCAAAAAAACTTTCGGGCCTCGCGCATCACATTTCCAAAAGACAAAATTAAAGCGTTGTGTCTTTCCTTGTTCTAGCTGAAGATTAATTCCCATTTTGTTCAATACAAGCTACACTCCTTTAAAAAAGTAATAATAAATAAAAAAATCCCATGTTGCACATTTGGTGAGTGGTTTACCGAGGCCTTTCGTCACAATTGGTCGACCTGTCCTTAGCTCTCTCTCTCTCTCTCTCTCTCTCTCTCTCTCTCTCTCTCTCTGTGTGTGTGTGTGTGTGTGTGTGTGTGTGTGTGTGTGCCAAATGTCTCGAAGCCGGGCCCACCCACAAGTATTCAGGATGGACCCACAAGCTCTTCCATTTCGGCACTTTTGGAATAGCAAAAGAAAATGCGAAACAATAACCCGCCCCCCACCTCCCGCCCCCGCGCCGAAAAAAAAGAAAGGAAAGAATCATAGCAATCAAAACCCAGAGCGGTCCACATCCGTTAAAATTCGAGCGATACAGAGGAGATTAGCATGGCCCCTCTGCCCAAGGATGACACGCATAAATCGAGAAACGGTTCAGATTTGAAAAAAAAAAAAAAAAAAAAAAAAAAAAAAAAAAAGAAAAAAAAAAAAAAAAAAAAATATGCCTTCACCCACACAAAAAAGACAGAGCATTTCCGAAACAAAACACAAATGTGAAAAAAAAAAAAAAAAAAAAAAAAAAAACAGAGCGTTTCTCGCTGAAGAGATGCCTACTGATAGACGGATGCGTAAACACCTGGGGGCCAGGTCTCACTACCTACATAGCAAAGCGGATTGGTCCCACGAGCAATACCTGAATCTGGAAGTGTTTGTGGACAAGTACAGAACCATCTGTGGAGAGTGGAGACGTCCCACAAACCGACATACCGCGCAGGCGCGGGCTCGCAGCCCGTAATGTGACTGTGAGGCCTGCCGCAGTGAAAAAGCAGACGAGCGAGAGACGGTGGCAGCAGCTCCTGGGGCGAGGTCCCACTAGCAAAGAGGATTGGATTGAACGCCTGAATCTGGACTTTTTTGTGGAAAGGTGCAGAATGTCGCGATTGAACTGCTTTCCTGCATATCTGCTTAAAACACGTCCAGATTCAGGATATTAATCCAATCCTCTTTGCTAGTGGGACCTCGCCCCAGGGGAGGGAAAGGGGAGCAGACGCAGTCGGGGTGGGCACACTGGAAGTGAACCCTGCGGGGGCAATCGGTGGTATATAGAGGCCGATTAGCCAAAAAGAAAACAGAAAGCATAGCCCTGGACAAAAAGAAAGTTTCATTCCATGCTAATATATAGGCAGCGGACGTGAACCCTGTGGGCACCAGGGCCATGGTCCCATTAGCAATGAGTGCCGGATTGAATGCCTGAATCTGGATGCGTTTGAGGACAGGAGCAGGAAATCTGAACTGCTTTTCTGTATCCATGTATTAACATGGCCAGATTCAGGATTTCTATCCTATCCCCTTTGCTAGTGGGACCATGGCCCAGTAGCTCGCCCATATATAGGCTGGGGAGGTGACCTGAGAGGATGTCGTGGTTGTGGCAGGGGAGAAGTGTTACCCCCCTCCCCCCAACACACACACACCCCGCCCCCTGCAACCCCCCTGCAACTCCCTTCACACGAGAGACGGAGACCTCAATTTTCACCCCGCCCATTGAACTGGGGCTGGAACTCAGGTCTTACCCAAGCCTAAGAAGGCGAAGGTAGAGGGCAGCAGCGTTGGTGGTATGTGCTCATGGTGTGACAGAGGAGTGCACGACAGAGTTGCTTGCCCCGCCTTCGAGGTTGACCTCAGGAGGCGAGTCGTGCAGTTCGATACAGGGGATAGTCAGGGATATGCGTGGCGCTCGTCTTCCGACAACTTGAAGACGTCACGGTGTTAGGAGAGTTGTGTATGACAGGCTAGGCATGGAGCTGAGGGAGGATGAGTGACAGATTACATGTCCACGAGACGCATGAGTTGCCAGACTATGAGATCAAAGAGAAAATCAATGAGAACGAGGTGGTTGTCATGGGAGATAGACCGTTAGGCTTGTTCCATATTATTATCTTCTACTTTGAGGGCTCCAAGGCATGAACTTGTATTACCTCATGACTTTTATATTGGGAGTTTTTGACTCCAGGCTTCAGGATTTGAGCCATGTATTATATGTAGTTGATGACTAGACTTGACTCAGGTTTTAGTAGACTGTACATATGTGATAGACTATTCGTTTTAGTAGGTTGACTTTAGTAGGGATTACCTTGGGCATGAGGATCCACGGTTGTGAGATTTGTGCGAGTTTTGTGTGAGATTTGTGTGAGATTTGTGTGAGATTTGTGTGCGTTGGATATGAGTATGATTTTTTAGTGTAGTACCATGAGCTAGCGAGTATCCCTGTGGAGCACATGGTTTGCCTACTTAGGCCCTGAATCGCGCGGCTGGACATTGCCTTAGGTAGAATAGGTCTAGCGCTACCACTTCCATGTCCGCACGCCTCTGCGGCTTCGACAAGAGCGGAGCTGTGACGCCCAACCTCATGCCCAGCGCGACTTCCTGTTTTCGAAGTGTTAATGGGCCTGG